AGGTGTCAAATGATAATTCAGTGTATATATATATATATATGGGAAAAGGTGCATATAAGATAAAACACCCCCGACTCCACTCCTGACTAAGATGAGAGCCTCTGAACTGATGACTATCACTCAGGAGTAAAACTTGGGGCTGTGACAGTTTCATGGCAACAACAGCTCAGTGTTCAGGAGTGACCTCTGGGAAAGACAAAACAATGAACTTCATTCTGTCCCTGTATAAATCCATGCTCACCTAAGTCCTAGATACCGTGTCCTGTTCTGATACTTTCTCCACTTCCCCTTAAAGAATATCTTAGAAAAGATACAGGGCTAAGAAAGGTTCAAAGAAGGGTAACAAGATGATCAAAGGCATGGTACCACTCTAAAGAAAGGACAATTTTGGAAGCTACATCTCTTTAGTTTGGACAAAGGAAGACTGTGGTAGTCTTACTGAGATTTATAAAATAGAGAAAGCTATAGAGACGGTGAATAGGGATTGACTGATTCCTTTTTTTTTCCCCAGTACAAGAGCAAGAAAGCACCAAATCCAGCGAATGTCAGGTTTGATCAAGTTTTGTCTCATGTACAGCATCCACAGAGCTCCTTGACATAGGCTGATGTGGGTATTCATGTGGCTTCAGGAGCAGACTGCATGAGATCATAGGGTAGAAATTAATTGAGAGTTATTAAATGCATAAAATCACTCTGGTTCAGGAATTCCCTAAGCTGCAAATGACTGAAGGCAAGAAAAGTACTCATGAGAAGAGTGGTATATATCTTACACTCTTCCTTGAAGGACTCACGTTTGGCTACTGCCAAGGTAAGGACGAGATGGCCACTTAAGGTCCTATATTATCTGACAAGTCTCTTCAGCCTTCCAAGTATTCTATTAGGCGAATTAAGGCTATGGGCTAAGAGCCAAAAATACTACATGTCCTATACTTTTGAATATTTAAGAATGTGCATAAGTCACCGGATATTTATACAGTAACAAATATCCTTCAGCTCCTGTTGACTTCATTACACTGACCCTGCCGCTGCACACTGGTCAGAGAGGGTAGAAGCCTGGGACCATCTATGCCTAGCAGACAGCTTTTGCAAACCTGAGAAATCCAGGGATTTTAGGAAAAAGGTTGCATCATGTGTGAATGTCGTGGTTTAACCCCAGCCAGCAACTAAGCACCACGCAGCCGCTCACTCACTCCCCCCCATCCAGTGGGATGGGGGAGAAAATCGGGAAAAGAAGTAAAACTCCTGGGTTGAGATAAGAACGGTTTAATAGAACAGAAAAGAAGAAACTAATAATGATAATGATAACACTAATAAAATGACAACAGTAGTAATAAAAGGATTGAAATGTACAAATGATGCACAGGGCAATTGCTCACCACCCGCCGACCGACACCCAGCCAGTCCCCGAGCGGCGATTCCCCGCCTCCCCCTCCCCCCCTTCCCAGTTCCTAAACTAGATGGGACGTCCCATGGTATGGAATACACTGTTGGCCAGTTTGGGTTAGGTGCCCTGGCTGGGCATGAGAAGCTGAAAAATCCTTGACTATAGTCTAAACACTACTGAGCAACAACTGAAAACATCAGTGTTATCAACATTCTTCACATACTGAACTCAAAACACAGCACTGTACCAGCCACTAGGAAGACAGTTAACTACATCCCAGCTGAAACCAGGACAGTGAATCACCTAAACAACAAAGATGAAGAGCTATATTGAGTATATATTACTTGTAACAGTAATATACAGGCATTCAAAAAACCATTACCTATGGGAGAGATGGAGGATGGCAGCCTTGCTCGGAGAAGGACAATTCCCAGCAATGATGTGACTATCCACAAGCTGTCTGTAGCAATTTTGTGTGTGGACTTAGGATACATTTTTCAGTTGTCCAAATGGTGGCACTTGTGCTGGAGGAGCAATTCTGATGGTTTCAGAGAGAATGTGGTGGCAGCGGGTATTTGTGGGTGTGTGTGCTTTGTTGATTGAAAAAATATATAAATGCAAAACAGAAAAAATAACAATGATGTGACTGTGTCTTACTGTTCTCAAACCACCATGCTAGAACAGCTAAAATAGATAAAAGTCCGTGGGGATTTCTCATATCCCAAAATTGTTTTTTGTACAGTAAACTTTCTCAACATTTGAAAGTAAGAAGCATTGCTACTGTAGCAAGAAGACTGTAGCTGCTTGATATCTAGGTGCATGTAGCTTCAACCATTGTATAGGTAAGATTTATAAAGAAAAAAATAACTATTGTCTAATTTATGAGCATAGAGCTAAATTTAGCTGCTGGCCCTCTATATTTGAGAAAAGCAGGTCACACAGAGAGCTCATTTCAGACAATTTTGAATCAGGACCACCAGGATCAGTTTCACCTGCAATTCAGTATTGACTCATAATTCTAAGTAATCATTCTCTCAGAAAAAGCTGATGATGTGTTCTTAGCAGTTGTACTGAGGCAGTAACCTTTACGCTGTATTTTTGGTAAACAGTCATAAAGCTATTATAATACACCAGGAATTCCTGTTAGAAAAATATCATTTGCTTCTGCCTCTTAGAACTATATACAATCAAAGGAAATCAATTATGATAAATAGAAATGGTATCCAATACCATATGTTACTGATATCAGGAGTCTCTGCATATGACTAATGAAGATCTCAGGAAAAAAAAAAAGTAGGAAAGGAACCAATTTAATCTGGACTAGAACTTTAATAAGCACAATTAATAGGAACAGTGAAATGATGACATGAACTATGAGGGTGAAATGATGGTGAACTGTGAAATGGTGCTGATTTCAGCTGAAGTAAAAAATTTTTTTCCTTGAAGGAGTTGGGTTTATCAGAGGTCACTCTCCTACCTAGATTACTGAAACACTACCATGCTCACCAGCAATTAGGAGACAGGACTTCTTTTCACAAGCAAACTCTGTGTAAGAATGATTTTAGCAAGCTCAGTCTCTCTTTCTAGTATGGCCATTAGCCAATCTATGTAACTCACACAGAACCTCAGATGGCATTAGCCCTGCAACTGGAGTTCATTCCACTGAACCTCAGCCCAGTGAGAATTTTACAGTGAGAATAAGAAGAACGGGACTTCCCTGTTGCTGTGCCACTTTTAACCTAAAAAGCTCTTTGATACCCCAGCGATGGACAACAGTAGAGAGCTGCTGAATGGATGGAGAGATGGACAAGCAAATCCCATCAGGTGTTCAGTGCCCCGTGACTTTCACTGCAGTTAGTGGTAGTTGCACCTCAGCAGCACTAGATTGCTCAACTTTGGAGCAGTCATCTCTTTCTCCACTTTTTATCTCCTCGGAAGGGGAAAATTTTGCAACATAAATATCATGGAGATGTAAAAAAAAGGAAAATTTAAAATGGCCCAGCATGGAAAAATCAAACAGTTGTAGCAAAGGACAAATTTGCAGCTATTCATCTGATGGGATAGCCTTTACACATCTAAGGCTTGGAGATCTAACAGAAGTAGCTCTTGGAGCTGTTGTTTTTAATGCTCATTTTTTGTTAAGATGTCCTGAGAGCCTAGATGGTAGGAATGCATAAACATTATGCTTAGTGAAAAAACTTAGTACCTCTTCCCCTATATAAAAACAAGCAAGAGAGTGCGAAGTAATGAAAACTTGAAGTATCAGTTTCTTCTTATGAAGGCTGAGTTCCTTGCATTCCAGCTACTTAATGTTCCCTGATGCTGACTGAAGAATCCTGACAATTCTATCACTCAGCTCTTGCTCTGCTACAAAAATTCACACACACACCAGTATGAATTGCCATTTTTCTCTCTTTCTTCATCAGTTTCATTTCCACAGCTTGTATGAAGAATATTTAATTACACGGCAAGTCTGGGAGAAGTCTGCGTGTTCTGTGTTTGAAATTATCATACGTGAAATGAAGGAGATGATATAACACTGTCATGAGCTATGGCAGCTGGCTTTCTCTGAAGTTTCTCTCAAATCTCCCAGGAACGTGAAATAATTCCTATACATGGGATTTCCATCCCCGCAACTTTCACCCATGAGCTTCCTGACATAGGTGTCACATCCTATTAGCTACAGTGTAAAGTACGAACACGTTAAGTGCTCCGTGAAAAGTAACGGTAGGCATCCACAGCGCCTTCAGGTGACTCCTTTTAATGCGAAATAAAAGTGTCTACTCAAGGGACTGCTCCCACAGCGTCATTCGTAAGTATGAATGTATTTCTGTGTGCTCCAGAGCATTAGCTAGCGGGCAAGGTCAGCGTATCAATAAAACCAGAGGCAACTTGTTCCTTCTTCACTTACGGTGTCAGAGGTTTCACTAGACTCCCCTTGGGCTGGTGGTGCGTGTCCTACAGCTGGCCTTTGCTGCTGGTGGCAGGAGCAGAGACCCTCCGTGGCGGTGGCAGTGGGTGACTGTTGTGGAGGGACATCACACACAGACCAATGTGATCAAGTAAAGTCCATTTACTACAACGTTTGATACAGTTATATACCTTATGCGCTTGTGCACGCGCCTTATACAATACTCTAATTGGTACAATACCCCGTTTCACGCGACGCTATCTTATCCTCTATTGGCTGTGCAAGCTTCTTCACGAGGTGTCCAGCAGTCACTTATCTCATTCTTCAGCATCCAGGTGTTGTTTGTCAAGCTCTTCTTATCTTCCTTTTTCCCAGCGTACAAGGACACAGCGTCCTTGTCTGCTCCAGCGTTTTGTAAACTTATGCTTTGTTCCCACCTAACGGCTGGATTGCTCACATTCCTTTGCCCAGCCAAGAAATCCTCAACAGGTGACTGTCACCGGCTCACAGCGGCCCTGCCTCATTCGAAACAGGCTGGTGCAAATAAAGTTCAAGGTAACTTCACAGATCAGGGTCATATTACTTCTCAGCCGCCTGTCTATATAAAAAGCAGGCAGCACCTCGCTGCGTGCCAGAAATGCTCTCCCCTGCTGTTGGTGCATAGCTCCACGTGCACTGTCGCCCACCGCGGGGAATGCTGGCTCTATGGCTACCGAGCTGCCAGCTGAGAAATTTGGGAAACATCAGTGGGAGACGGACCATGGTAAGAGCATCCTGTACCAGAGCCTTAACAAAGAACGTGGAAGTGAGACCAAGTGGCACCAGCAGGATCGTGGTCCTCACCGCTCCACGGGAAGCAAGGGCTGCTCTTGTATGGACAGGAGGAGAGTTGTCCTGAAAACACCAGAAGTCACGTGCAGAAGAGCTTCTGAAGTGCTCTTGAAGACTTTAACTTTTATTAGAAACTTGCCTTCTTTTTATCACGTGCCTTGGGAGGACCAGCTTGTCCTCATACAGCAGAACTGGGCCCCTCTTTTTGTCCTGGGCATGGCACAAGAAGGGGTGGATTTTGACCTGAGAGAGATTTCAGCCCCTAGTTTATTGAAAAAAATCCTCCTCAATCAGTCTTTGACAGCTAGCAATGAACTGGGCAGCTCGTCACTGGGAGCATCTTTAGCAGAAGTTCAGAAGATGAAGAATATATTGTGGAAATTCTGGGACCTGGACATAAGTGTAAAAGAATATGCCTATCTTAAAGGAATTATTCTTTTTAATTCTGGTAAGTCCTCCTGGAAATTACACAGATGATTATGTGCCTAGAAGGACATTTGGCATTTTCATTTGTGTATAGACAAATGCTTAGTTTTACTCTTTTCTATTAATATAGCTAAATGTTCTCAAAAATCCATATTCCACAATTTAATGATCTTCTGCCTGAAGTAGTTTATTTAGGTTCCTTGGATGTGTGCAGTAGGTCACCCACTGTAAGCCAAAACAGCTTCTATTAAACAAATTTTAAGTCATAAAGAATTAACCATGCCACTTGAAACTGATTTCCAGTTCAAAGGTAATACAGCGGCCTCACCCATAATACAGCAAAGGAGAGATGGTACATGGGTATGTGATGTGAGTATTAGAAGTATTTTAACAAAGACTTCCTCTATAGCAAGAACACTGGAGAAGATAAAATAATCTCTATCATCTGATTTTCATCAAGGAGGCAAAAGGATATTGTGTTGAGGTTACACAGCTTTTATTTATTTATATATTTATCTGTGTATCCTTTAGTATCTCTACATGGGACTGCAGTCACGGAGCAAACTCAGACTAGTGATTGCATCCTCTCACTTCTGGTGCCAAGTTCAGCCTCTAGGAAGGAAGGTTGCCTAGGTCAGCACCACGGAGTGTGTGAGTCATTAAAAGCTGAGCTCTAAGTCCACTAAAGTAAATGGAAAGACTTATTGACTCCAGTTTGCTCTGGCTCAGATCTCCGTCTCCTTCCACAGCAATCACTGCTGTTGGCTGCTCTGTCAGCAGCATGCTATACTTGGGACTGCACCAAAAGGATACTTGAATGCTTCAGTTATTCCGTGATATTTCTTGTGGTGAAATGTTTATAGGCTGCTCAAAGGCTGTAGTGACTTTATATTTGTTTCCAATAAGATTCAAATTCTGATTCTTGAGATGTAATGTCATCCAGATGTTTGGTATTGTCTCGTGTGCCTATGCCACAGCATCAAACCAGTGGAGTTTGTTTCAGTGCAAGTTATTTTCTCAGTTTTTTTCACAATAAAATCAGGCTAAAAGAAATGACCGGTTATATCCAGGGTGATGCTAAGAGGAGAAATCCCTCATCTGCAATGGCTTACACAGTTTAACTAGCAGGCATTTTTATTATCTCTGTGGATAAAATGCGATTTTCACTTAAGGAGAAAGCAGCAGAAGCAGTGTTACGTTCTGGTTTTGTGCCTTCTAATGCCTGCTACTTCCCCAGGGGGCCGTATGAGAAGCCCAGCAACCCTTCATGCTGTGCAGACACTGTCCAGAGTTTCAGGGGGACTCCCTAGTTCTTAGGTGGGATGACCCTATTCTGCAGAGGTGCCTTTCTCCACAGGCTGCAGAAGGCAGCTGGGAGGACTTCAGTTAAGCCTAGATTGACTCCAGATGAAACAAAGACTCACAGTCTAACTCTGGGCTGAAACAGGTACTCAGGGCTTATACACAGCCCAAACCACCCTTTCTCTACCTGTTTTGCTGCAAACAAATCTGTACAGCTGTCCGTTTCACAGTTACTATTTTTAAGAGTTTTTGAACACTTTCCACCAAACTCAGAAAATGTTCTCTACATACATGCAGCACATTTTCAGCTGCCCTCTTAGTTTTGGCTTGATGTTTGGCCAAACCTTAATATTTTGCAGGCCTCAGTGCTAAGAGGATTTCAGGCTGCCACCAGCAGCGACAACACTAAACCCTCTGCTGGATCATGGATTACCTCGTGTGGGCTCCCACCCTGAATGTTTTATTCCTGTTGGGACCACCAAAACTGGCTGAGGCAAAGGGGAAGGATGAAGCACAGAGCAGTCCAGAGCTGGGTTATGAGTTGGAGTTCAACAGGGTGCCCAGAAATGCAGCTGTAGCAGCACAGCTAGGACAGTGCTTGGGCAAGAAGCATGACAAACAAGTACGGCAGAGCTTTGCTTGTGCCCTGAGTCATCTCTTGTGGTATAGAGATTGTGCTTACTATCATAAAAAAATCCCTTTGGGGACAGGGTGGCAGGCAGCATGGAGTGTAAGTCCTCCGACAGTACTTCTGTGCGGGAGGCTCTGGCTGGGTCATTGATCGACCACATCTGGACCAGCAAGAACCTGCGAAGGAGAAAGCATGTGCCCAGCCCCTGAGGGGAAATGGGCAGCCTTGCATCAGCTGAATCCAGATTCTCCAGAACATCTTGCCATCCCTGCTTTTCGCAGGATGCTTTGGCTAGGTGGCTTCGGAGAGGTCAATGTGTGTACGGGTGAAGGGTCCGGCTGCAAGACCTTCTCTAGGACCCAAGCAATAAGTCAAAGGAAGAAGCAGGTAGGACTGTCCCGCCACGCATGAACTGCACAGAGTGAGGTGAAACTGCTCTTGCTGCTTTTGACAATTGTCTGAAAAGCAATGAGAACAGCGAAGAGATGGGAATCATGAAAAACAGTGCTGTTATTGTATCAGTGCCATATATATATGTTTATGGAGTTATATATATATACACACACACATATATATATAAAAAAATAACTCCATCAAGGCTGTGACAGGACTTCTGTTAAAAAAAGACACTCTTAAGAGGTTTACAGTTCAGCTGGAAATATGTGTTTCACTGAATATTATTACAACAGATCTCAGAACAAGAAGTTTCTCATTATTTGTAAATTAAAGCCAGTGTTTGATTACATATAAAAGAAGACCAAATGGGGAAATTAAGCAAATTTGAAGGGATATAAGCAATTGCAATTTCATCCTGAATATATAAAATCTTGACAACTTCCTTTCCGTGAAAAATCTAACACTTGGAACCATCCTCACAGCTTGCAGCTGGTGGTAATCCTGGGGGAGAAGATGACTTTTCCAAACCCTTCATTTCTGGCTAGCCCAGTTGCAGGCTTTGCTGAGGCTTCTCTTCCTCTGGCAGTGATGTCTGGGAAGAGAGCTGCTGAATACTGAGAAAGGGCAGCCAGCCACAGACTGAAGAAAACCCAGCGTGGTTGGTTTTGCCGTAGTACAGGGCACTAGGCAAGAAGGCAGAACCTCCCACACTTAAATGAATGTTCCTATATGGAAGACTCTCTGGTCTAAGCTGTTCAGATCCCATCCCAGGGAGGCATGGGGTTGGTCACTGTAAAAGATGCTGAACAGGCCTGGAGTGTGTGCTGGGAGATGGGTTAAAATAAGACATGGGAGGCAGGAGAGGCAGAACTCAAAACCTGGGGATTCATGCTACCCCTGTCCAGACTGCAGCAATTCTAGGCAGGAAAAGATGGTGTCATCCTCAGGTGGTGAGGACAGGAGGCAACAGGTTGCTGAGAGCTACATGACAAAGCAATCCCACCAGAGGCAAAGGCTAAACACGGGGTGTCCTTTGAACTGAGCCCTGGCACCCACAAAGACCCTCAGCGAGCTAGCAGGTTTGAAGTCACGTGCTGTGGGAGGTATGGGATTGAGGGTCCAGACCACGGCTCTACAGAGCAGAGACCTCTCCCTCTTCAGAAATGGCTGAGGAAAGGGAGTACAAAACCAGGAAATAAAATTATCTACCCTACTCCTGTGGGTCGTGATACATCTCACAGAGAACCTTTATGCTCTTTTCAGTCTGTAAATGAAGATAGCTAGATAGCATGGTGAACCACAGTGCCCCAGCTAAGTCTAGCAAGCAGAGGCAACAATAGGAGGGAGATGGGGCTGGGGAGACTGGAAACCTATGTCTTTAGACTGCCAGCCTGCTTGCTGCTCCAAACCACCCCCTCTATCTTCCTGATGTTACCTACCTATTTTAGATTAGAGCTGGAATGTTTCCACCTACTCAGACTACGGTCTCAGCATCATTTGGTGGGTAGACAACACTATAAAGCTGCTTCTCCATCTGTACTGAGTGAAAGTTATTTCCTGGTACCATTTCAAAGCTGGATTTAATGTAATGGGCTAGATTCCAATGTGCCTACAATGCTGCTCAATGTTCCTTCAAATTATTGAACTAGACATATCTTCTTTTTCCAAAAAGTATGTTTAGAAAGTTTTTATTGTTTTCTAGAGAAAGTAGTACTATAAGCTAGAAAGCCAGACACTCATCATTATGAAGGGCACAGAACAAAAGCATTTACTCAAGATTTATTATTTTACTTTTTGTTTTCACAGGATGCCATGTCCTAAAATGTCTCCCCTATGTACAAACACTGCAGCAGGAAGCTCAGCAAGCATTGATGGAGTTTATCTCAACAATGTTCCACAGAAACCTAGGCAGGTTTGCTTGGATTCTTCAGCTAATCACCTCTCTTCAAGACATCAGTGCAGATGCTATTGAAGAGCTCTTCTTCAGGCCCATCCTAGGACAGGCCACCCTAAATGTATTACTTCGAGAAACCCTACATATCAAGCCAGACTAGCTTTGAAAACAGATGACATCTGTGCTCTCAAATACCTATTTTTGAAGAGATGGGAGGATTTTGTGAGCTAAACACATTTCAAACAAATCATTGATGCATCTTTGTAAGCCATATATATTTTTTGTATGATGAAGTAATTTTGTAACATTTTAGAATTAAAAGCAGAGAAATCTAAGCATTTCATAATTCTGTGTGCTTTCAAAAACCTTTAGTCTAACGTATTCAAAGACTGTCTAGGAGCACCAGAATTCTTTCCAGTTGTGCTAGGTTCAACTGTATTATTTCTAGTGAGCATTTTTATGGCTGTTTAAAACTATACTATATGCTTTTGGCTTTCCAGAAGTTTTTGCTTTCAGGAAAAGGGGCAGTGGCAAATTGTATTCAGTGCGTCACCAATTGAAGATGAACAGATACATAAAAGGCTGATCAATGGTAAAATCAGTATAAATCCTTTCTTTTCCTGGGATGTCATTCCCCGATCCCAGCCCCTTTTCTGTTCCACTGAGAACTCTAGTCCTTGGCTGTAATTGCTTGATAGAGCTCCCCCTTATTAACTGCTTTCTTATAGGTTCCTTTTCTAAGTCTTGCTGTAAATTGTGGGCATTAAATCCCTCTTCCATTATTCACAAAGTCCTTCCCTGACTAAGAAACTGAACAATATGATTAAAAAATTTGTTGACTACACAACAGCCGCTGTTCAGAATTGTTTCTACAATGGGAATAACAAAGGCTGAAAGCTACTATGCTATGCCATAAACAGCAGAACTAATGCAGCCCAGTTTCCTACATATTTAAGACCTTTGCCCTTTAGCCCTCCCTGCACTGTTTTATAATTACCCTCACTTCCCTCCAAACAGATGGTAGATGTTCCTCTGACAGCAGAAATGCTGAAATACGGTTTCCTACAGATGCGTACAATCTGTTCCTCCATCTCTCGCTGCAAGAGTTCCACGTCTCCACCTCCGTGTGTGCTGTAGCATGCCCCACAACATCTCACTGTCTCCTGTCTGGCTGGAGAAGGGGCAGCACGTGTTGGGGTTGGCGCCAAGCTGTGTGTCCTGACTGGTCATCCGTCAGGATAAAAAAACCATTGAGCGCATACTTTAGCTGCAGCAAGGGAAGCTATTTGTATCTCTTTCCTGTCCCATTCCTCTCCCAATGGTTTCCATGAAACTTAGAGGAATTAATCTCTGAGTTGTTTCAGTAGAGAGTCCAATCTAGTTTTGTTTGGCAAGCGGGCTCAAATTCACCAAATGGGGACTGACAGGCAGGTAGACAGACAGGAGGAAGACAAAGAGTATAACAGCTTAATTCATGCTTCCTTAGAAAGTCAAGCTAAAATCATAAGAACTCACATATATATACACACACACACATCAACACGTGTACATACAGAGATGGATGTTCAAAGGACTTTAAAAGAAAGTCAGTCAAGGAAAAAAGACATTTAAATAATAAGAAGAGTTTCCTACCTACCCGTTTTGACTAAATACCACACATTTTTTCCCGACTTTGGTAATTGAGGAATAAACTATAAAAATAAAGGGAAAGAAGTAAATCCTAAACAAGACAAACCAACTAAGCCCCCGGGTACTGGTGATCATGGAAGTAACGACCTCTACAGTAAATACAATACACCTTCCTATGTTCCAGGCTAACCAAACCTTTCAGAAATTAAGCTTTTTGGACTGATATTTTCCATTGAAAGCCTTCAGACTAGCAGTTTTCAGTAGGTTTTTGTTAAAATGGTTCAACAGTACTGCCACAGATCAAGTGGTGCATAGTAACAGGATATTCCATGGTTAGTTGTTTGTGTTAGTGAATGGAAACACTAGTTCCAGAGATTGCTTTTCGTCTGTTCTTTTCAAGACTCGCCCAAGCAGTATACATCCCAAAACTGTATTTGTGCATTTGGTATGGACAACACCATATGGTAGTAGACATACGAGTTTGTCTCTTTCGGACACCTCAGAAGTCCTGACAGCTTCTACCTTCTGGCTACTACACATGCTCCACTTGCACAGGTGACAGCGCAGCGCAGGCCAGGGCTGCGTGAGCGGGAGGCATTGCACATGCAGCAGCTTCTGTGATGAGAATGGGAAGAAGATCCCTGCTCTGATCTCAGTGCTCCCACTGCTGGGTAGAAGAGAGCAGAGAGAAGAAACACCCTCAGCTCAGTGGGAGCAGTGAGGAATTTTGCATAGAGGTGAAAAGTGCAGAAAACATGTAAAATGAGAAATAGTCATGGGTGGTTAGAGACTGGAGCAAAAAGGGAGATCAAAAAAAGCAGAAGAGTGGGACAGAAGCAGCTTATTAATAGAGCTAATTTCTGTGTAGTGCCCAGTTTACCTTCATAAGCTAAAGGCCTGCTCAGTGAATCACCAACAACCTGAACCAAGGACATGGTTCACGATTCAATAGCCTGAATTTCAGGCTACTCAGAGCACATCAGATAGTCTCTGCTTGAAGCTTTACTTCTTATCAAAATCTTCTCCAAGGTCTCTGATTTTATCTTCAAGGTTGTGGTGGTGCATACAATGGCTTCAATTCAACTTCCTTTGAATTGGAGGGCACAGTGCCAACAGTTCCCATGGCTTGGCTCACCCCGATGACAATCCTGTATTTGCTGACTACTCTTTTAGCTTGATGGGTGTCTATGTTACCAGCTGTCTGAAAAGAATGCCTACCACTCCACAGTGAAGATCGTGGTCAACACCTTGGGTTTTCAAGATGGCATTACCTTCTACCATGAAGGCAAATACTAGGCTTCAAAGGGAACTCCCACAAGATCTGATACTCATGGACCTCACCTCACTGTGCTCTGAATACAAGATTCAATCCTTCAGGTCTTTAACAAAACACATCTTCATTAGTATGTACACAATTAAAAAACTCAACAACCTTGAGCTAAAGCTCTATGTAACTAAACAGTTCTTATCTCACAGACCTGATCACAGAGAGAGCATGACTGTTAATAATAATTTGCTTGATAACCTGTTCAAAGGGGCTGAGATACTACTGTCTTGCTGAGAACAGAGTAAGAATCTGTATCTAATGTAATTAAGCTGCATATGAAAGTGGAGGCTGTGAAGGTACAAGAGGAAGAAAGGAACAGGAGAGGTGAGCGATCATGAGCAGAAGTTAGGGGCAAAAGCAGGAGCTCCCTCTGGAAGGAGGAAAGGCAAAGTGCAAGACAGCCTTTAACAGTCAAGGGAAATAACCCATTGCAATGGAGAAGCAGAGGTAGAAATGAACATACAGCAAGAGGAAGATAAGGGAAAATTCTGCGGCCCCCCCCCCCCCCAAAAACAAACCCCAAAC